GAACAACCAGAAGCTTGTTCAATATGGGAACATATTGTTCAGTGGCAATATGTCCCCATATTGCCATGGTCAGCAACAATACTCAGGTAGGCTGTTGTGTTTAAACAAAGCTCAGTTGGTGCTAAGAAGCCTAAATGTGTCAAAAAGAAAAATGTCCCCACCCCATTATAACACCACCAGCCTCAAACTGTTGATACAAGGCAGGATGGATCTATGTTTTCATGTTGTTTACTCATCAAAGGTGAGATTACTGGACCCATCATCTAAATGTCACAGCAGACATTCAGACTGAGACCAGATAATGATTTTCCAAACTTCTATTGTCTAATTTTGGAGAGCTAACGCAAATTGTAGGCTCAGTTTCTTGTTCTCTGCTGACACGAGTGGCACCTGTACAATGGTCCTCTGCTGCTGTAGATCCATCTACCTCAATGTTCGGCACTCAGAGATGATCTTCGGCCTACCTCGAATGTAACAAGTGGTTATTTCAGTTAATGTTGCCTTCCCATCTGCCCAGAGCAGTATGACCATTCTCCTGACCTCAAGCAAAGCATCAACAAGCCATTTTTGCTCAGACATACTGGTTATTTTCTCTTTTTAAGATCAATCCCTAGAGATGGTTCTCTGGGGAAAATCCCAGTACAGTAGATCTTCAGTTCTCAAAGTCACATAAATCATGTCTTCCTCATTCCGATGCTTGTTTTGCACTTCAGCAGGTCAACAGCATACCTAAATGTGTCGATTTGCTACCACATGACTGACTAATTAGATATTTTCAGCAATGACCAGTTGAACAGATGTAACTAACAAGGTGGCGAGTGAGTGTACAATGTTACAATGAAACAATATGAGAACAACACACAGGTGACAAATCCCATATTGCTCTTTAAAATGAAATCACATCAAATCTAGGTGAGAGAAAAGGAGATAGGAAGATCACATCTAAAAAAAAATAAAAATAAAAAATATGAGAGAGAGCAAATAAAAAAAAAAAAAAAAAACATGGAGAGAAAACAACAGTTTCCCCAGTAGGTGTAGTGACAGCCAGGCCATCTGGCCATGTAGGGATCACCCTGAGTCCCATATGTATGCATGAAGCTCTGGGGAAGGTACATGTATGCCTGCATATATTCAAAATACACCCTAAAGCACATGAGTGACCAGCAATTATACATTTACCTGGCAAAAATCAAAGACAGATAGCTAAAAGGCTGACATATGTACAAGACTGAATCTACACACAAATTTGTATCTCCCTCCATACATGCTGCACATTTGCTATTAGGAGAGAGCGAGAAACAGAGAGAGAGAGAGAGAGAGAGAGAGTCTAATGAGCTATGAGGGGAGCAGAGGGTTCTGGTCTCACAGCAGTGCAGCCATTAAAATGTCACCCAGACAAGGCCAGAAACCAGCTGGAAGACAGCACAAGCGGCACACTTGCACACAAGCAACACAAACACTCCTGTAGAGCTGTGAGAAGATGCTGACTGCAACCACCAGAGCGCTGCATAATTCATGCAAGACCAACTAAGAGAGAGCGAGTACGTGTGTGGACATATGTGTCGCTGCATGTGTCGGTACAACATGCTCTTTTTCTTTCTTTTTTTTTTTTTGAGGGCAGGAAGTCTGTGGAGGTCAAAAGCAGAGGCTGATCACACTTAACTGCATCACCTCTTGAAAAATTTATAAAAAGACAGCTAAAAATGAGTACATGAGCATCATTTTTGCTCCTTTTCCCTTTCCTTTATAGCAACTGCACCTCCATCCCTCCCTTAAGATACCAACCAAATGTTTTAAAACTCGCGATTGGTCTTTTATTTGTACCATGGTATGAATACAAAGAGTTTCCCATGTCCTTCTAAGCCACAGCCTTATAAACTTTGTTTTGAGTCAGTAGACCTCAGGGTCGGAGGAAGAAAAGGTAGAATGTGGAAAAAAAAAA